TTTGACTAATAATATGATGAATTCAAGCAACAATTGTGATCTTGATTTTCTATAGCACCTCTAGTTCACATGTATCTCAACGTACTTTTTGACTTTACTAACTTGTCTGTACAAACAATGGGCTAAGTCCTGAATCCAGGTTATACAGTGGTATGGGGCGTACGATCCCCAACACACTATGTAAACTATGCCTTGTGTTCCTGAGATGGTCAGGAGTGATCCATTCCTCCCCATTGCTGATGGGTTAGGAGAGGAAGGAGCTTGCTCCACTGTTGGGAGGAATGGAGCTGCTGGCAGTCTAAACACTAATTCCCCTACTTCCACTGCAAGAGGTTCTGTGTAATATCCCAGGTTCTCGCCTCTCTGCCAGAGTCATGGAGTTTCTGCAGCCCAAGGTGTCCGTAGGTGGCAGGCCATATCTCTTGACTTTGACATAGAAACAAAATATGCAAATATACCTTGGGCATGAGGAAAAGGAGGGCTACCTACACTGCTAGCTCTTTGGGCAAAGAACTATTTTTCCATTATATGTGTGTGTGTAGTGTGTACAGTTTCTGATACACTGGTCCCTTCTTGGGGCATTTACATGCTAATGTAATACAACTAGTTAATTATAAATTTTTCAGTTTGACGGCAGGGCTCCCTCTCTGTCGTCTTGGCTGATAACAGCTAGATGCCTCCCAAAAGCCTGCCTCCCTTCAGGCTGCACAGCCCAGACACTCCCTTCCCAACTGATTGACAGCTGAGGTGTGACCCACCTCACCGAGGATATGAGGCTAGGCATTTGATTCCTCCCTTGATGTTAATCCCAGTAAATAGCAGTTGAGTGGCATGCAGCCACCAACAGTGCTCCTGGGAAGGGCCTGGGCAGTCCTGTAAAAGAATTTACTATCCCTTTAGGGACAATCTAACCCAAATAAATGTAATTAACCTCATTGCTTCAGGCAACACCTATCTCTTCATCATCACTAAAAAATGTCACATAACTGCCTAGTGTTAAGCGACTATGTAATTGAAAGTCAGCCTTTGACACAAGCCATTCGTGTCGGGACCGGAGTGCGGACAGAAGGGAGCCGCCTCTCACCCGTTGCGCACCGCATGTTCGTGGGGAACCTGGTGCTAAATCATTCGTAGACGACCTGATTCTAGGTCAGGGTTTCGTGCGTAGCAGAGCAGCTACCTCGCTGCGATCTATTGAAAGTCAGCCTTTGACACAAGCCATTCGTGTCGAGACCGGAGTGCGGACAGAAGGGAGCCGCCTCTCACCCGTTGCGCACCGCATGTTCGTGGGGAACCTGGTGCTAAATCATTCGTAGACGACCTGATTCTGGGTCAGGGTTTCGTGCGTAGCAGAGCAGCTACCTCACTGCGATCTATGTAATTAAAGATTGTTTCACAGTGCATGCGTGTGATGAGGTAGGGAGGTAAGGTGCAGAAAGAGCCTGTACAGTTCCTCAGGCCCTGTCTACATTAAGGAAATCCACACTAGTGTGACTACGGTGCTGTGGTTACACCAAAGTAACACCCCAGTGATTTACTGGATTCAGCCGCACCAATGTAAGCCTGCTTTGCTCCACTGCATAGCATCAACATTAGCAGTTTTCACAGCGTAACTACAGTGCTGCCTCTCGACTGGAGCAGATTTCCTTACTGGAGACAGAGGCTCAGGTTTTTGAGTTTTAGTCTCAAATCTAACACAGTATTAAAATCCTTTTTGGCATTGAATTAATGCACCCAACTAAGCAGAGCAAATACTGATGCTCTGTCTGCATGGAATAACAAACACACTTCCTCGCAAACATTTGAATTTCTGTCAAACATTTTAGCACATTTACTTTTTTCCTTGCCCTCCCCCTTTGTGCATTTTTTAAGCAAATTAACTCTGAAGAAAAAAGTAGTTTACAGATCAAAAGGAAATGTTGAATTATATACTTTCTTATTCTCTCACTCCCAAGACTGGTAAATGCATGTTCTCAAATAGATGCTTGAATGCTGGCACATTTTTCACACTTCTTCACTGATCCAGTTCCAATGTGATTATCTTACACTGTTCATGCAGGAATGTAATTTCTCAGGATAAAACAGGAACCAGAAATCTCCCTCCCTCTTTTAGAAGGTGAGTGTCTGTAAGGATATCAGCCCCATACAGCATCTAGCTGTAGATTCCGGTCGGAGAAGCCCACCCCCATCGCTGCTTTTTTCCCCCCAGCATCTAAGATTTTTTTGGAAAGATGAGAGGCCATTGCTGATTATTGATCTTTTTATTATATGCTTCAACAGGGCTAGTTTGAGCTGTGACTCTACATGTGCATTGGAACAAAGTTTAATGCCATGACAAAAGGAAACTGTCTTCAGGCATGCAATTCACCTGTATCTTCTTCAATTAACTTTCTACAAAGTTTCCTGTAAAACCAACTAACAAAAGCCCTAGAAGACTATTGATAAAGTTAAGGCGTTATATGGCACTTCTAGATTTTTCACTAAACTCTATCCCTTCTTTTAAAACCTTTGGTATAACATCAGAATACACAACAAAGATTTGAAATGCAGTAATCCTACAGTGGTTTTATTTTCTTCCTCATGCTTATTTCTTCCTTAAACTCATCCTCCGTCCTGCCTGGCTCTTAGCTCTTAAGAAACTGTTAGGGTCCCAGATGGATGTAATATAGGGAGTTGCTTATTCTCAAAATTTTGGTTAAGTATCTAGTTCATAGAATCATAGAAGTTCAGGGTTGGAAGAGACCTCAGCAGGTCATCTAGTCCAATCCCCTGCTCAAAGCAGGACCAACACCAACTTAATGATCCCAGCCAGGGCTTTGTCAAGCCGGGCCTTAAAAACCGCTAAGGATGGAGATTCCATTCCATAGTTGCTGTGAGTAAGAGCTGGGTGGGGACTCCTGTGAGCAAAAGAGGTCTGGCTTTCTTGGTAATTCAGAGAACAGTAACAGAACATAATCATCAGATCTGGCTTCCTTTGCAAGCTTGGCTGTCCCTTCTCTGAAGCAACTGACATCGGAATAACCCATCATGGGTTCCTAGAATCTGACACCTGGATTCCAACCCACACTTTCAAGGTGCCACATTGAGGCTGTTTGGTTTTCCTATAACTCACTACAAAATAGCGAGGGAATTCTTGAGTTCTATTCCCTGCTCTTCCTCAGACTTATTGTGGGATATTCAGGAAGTCATTTGGACTTCTCTGTTTTATTTCCTTCATCTGTAAAATGGGGTTAAAGCTTATGTACTGAACGAGAAGTGGGGTTGGATGTGGAGAGGCTGATTTGCAAGATTTAACACATTAATATTTGTAAAGCTCTTTGAGAACATTGTTTGAGAGGGCAAAAAGTATTATTATATGGCTTTTTTCATATAAATATCATGGAGCATAGTTTTCAGCAGGTTAATGCTTTAATACATGATCCTGGCCCTCAATAAGCTACTTTGATATTTATGGTTTAAATTTGAGACAAGTCCAGTACCTGAGCCTTGGAGGTTTCTTTCTACTTTATAAAGTATTTTTCACGTTTTATTTTGGGAGAAAAAATCATAAGTCAAAAGAGGGTAAGGACTGCAGACATGATATGGATTTTGCTATGTCAGCCTGAATATAGCTTCTAAAACATATCTGAAATAAATTAGGTCATTGGAAACCTTCAGAAATATTGTAAAGGGTCTAGAGAAGAATTGGCCATGCTGAATCTAAACTTTAGTTACAGAGTCTTAATTCTGACATGTACAAAGTCTTCAAAAAAGAAAAAGAAAAGAAAAAGATGTTCTTAGAACTGTTCACTCAGTCTTATTAAAATAGCACTTCTCTGTGGAGAGGAGTTAATCATGATTGCCAGACTAAAAATTCTGTTCAACATAAAGGCTGTCAAAGTCCTTGTAGCGAACCTCAGCTTAGAGAGAAAAGAGACTGAGATGATGCAGCTATAGAAAAAGTAACTCAAATTGTACAGACACCCATGATAGTTTGGGCTCATGATAAACAAGCACAGGGGGGGAAACTGAGGGAAAAGGTCTAGGAAAGGCATAACAGCTGCTAACTAACTGTTCTCTTGGTCCTGATTCTGGCTATTCATTCTCAGAGAGGAATTTTCAAAACTTCTATTAGTTGGGGGGCAGAGGGCTTAAAACTCCAAAGACACAGATTTATTGCAGTAGGTCGGTCAGTTATAGGGTCTGTCATAACTATAAAGGGAAGGGTAACAGCTGTCCTGTGTACAGTACTATAAAATCCCTCCTGGCCAGAGACTCCAAAATCCTTTTCCCTGTAAAGGGTTAAGAAGCTCAGGTAACCTGGCTGGCATCTGACCGAAAGGACCAATAAGGGGACAAGATACTTTCAAATTTTGGTGGGGGGAAGGCTTTTGTTTGTGTTCTTTGTTTGTGTGGGTGTTCGCCCTCGGGACTGAGAGGGACCAGACAT